CCTTGATGTGCCCCCCGCCACCGCGCCGGCGGCTCCCATGGCGGTGGCACGGAAAATCAAAACTTTGTTGACGGTGAACATCTTGGTCTTCGTGGGCATCATCCTCTTCTCCGTCTACTGCAGGATCCAGGACCGCTCCCAGGAGCTGGTGCAGATCGTCCGGAGCGCGGACCGCCGGGCCAGGAGCCGCGGCGCCAAGGTGGGCAGCCTGGCTGACAGGGAGTCCATCCTGCAGCGCCTGGACCACCTGGAGGAAGTGGTCTACAACCAGCTAAATGGTACGGAGCGCCGGGAGGGGATGTGGCGCCGGTCCCGCGGTGCCCCGTGTCCTGGGAGGGTGCTGCAGATTGGGGAAGAGCAGCCGAAGTGCCCGCCCGCTGGGGAGGGAAACCCGGGCACCGTTCGCACCCACCCTGCTGCTGAAGTGCTGAAAATGAAGGGAAGGAGGGGGCCGCGGGGTTTTGCTGGAGGGATTTGTTGAGCCCCCCAGCCAGCTCTCGGTCCAAAGTCAGGACTTCCTCAATAGAGACAAAGTTAAGGAGGCTGCGGAGTTCACGGGTTTAAGGATTGGTGGAAGTCCCTACGAACTGTATCGGGTTTTATAGTTTGCCTGGATATATTAACTCTGCATGGGGAGGTGTTTGTATAGCAAATGCACTGCTAGGTTATAGCTGGAAGTCATGTACTTGGTCTCAGAACGAGTTTAAAAGCATTCTACCGAGTTCTTACGCTGTGTACTTTTAATAGTCTTTTTAAACATAGCACCCATATGTTTCCTAATGACTTTGCCATTTAAATTTGATCTTATCTTTGGTGAGGAGGGGAAGCATCCATCACTTCTTTTTATGATATTCCGTTCTAACTCACCAGCCTTGAAAAATCTTGGTAGGTGAGCAAAGAACCCTTCCATGGTAGTTAGAATAGGCTAAGCTATAAAAGTTGTTATAGGACAGCCAACGTTTCATATAGAAACTAATTCTTCAAAACAAGTGCATTTGTGTTTGCATAGATTTGTAAAGTTCTAAATGTGAAACATCGAAGAAATAAGTATGTGATTAAATACATCAGTGCTTTGGACAAGAAGAGGCTGAAGGAGTGAACTTTTGCATGAAATTATAATATAAATGTAACATTTAGCATCTAACACCAAATAAAACTTCCAGTGGAAATATGTTTAAGTATATTAAATGTGCTTCTAGGCTGCTTGTGAAAATCTCGCTCGTAACATTGATTTAACAAAGGCTACCGTAGTCTCAAAATGCAGACAAATAGGAGGGTTAGGATAAAGTATGTTTCCTGTTACTACTTTCTGAATGACTGTATGAATCGAAGTAGGTTAGACTGCGATGGTACCACGCAGTCTGTGCCAGCAAGTGCTAGAGAACAGGCATCCCCTCACGCACTCATCTATGAAACGGGGAAGAGAAGGGGAATGTGGAGTGTGGGTGTTAGTCACGAAAACACGCATTCATGAGTTAGAGGGAAAGTGTCACCAGCTGTGTTTCCTAACCATATTTTGGAGCAGTTTTGAAGAATGTAGGATTTCAGAGGGAAATCCTTCTTCCAAATTTAACAAAGCCATAGAATTCCCTAACTCAATTAGATTAGTCCCCGGGCTATAGCCGTCGTGGCTCAACTGAATGTTTTTGGCCCAAATTGATTTGTTCTTGGTGTTGTTCATAGGTGAGACTTTGGGTGGGATTTTACCTGCTCTGGGTTCATCTCAGCGCAGCATCCCCTGGAGAATCAGCAGGAGTCCTTAATGTATTGGGCAGGCACCATTGCACGTAAGGGCTGGGGCTTCACAGTAAACAGGAACTTCTCTGTAAAGTGTGCCTCTGCTTTGGGGACTTTTTTCTTCTTTAATTTGGTTTGTTGGATATGGAAATTCACAGTGCAATTGAAATGTTATGTTGCTTCTTCAGGTCACGATAAACACTGTGGGCAGTTTCTTCTTGAAAGTTCTTACACAGGAAAATACAGAAACTTTTTCAAGCTGAGCTGTTCAAATTTCCTATTCATTTCTTTTCAGTTTCTCTCTGACACGGTTGGGTTTTTTATCACACAGTGGTATACTAACACAGATTAATTATTTCATCATCATTGTGAAAAGATACTTTGTCACTTTCTTCTTCTTTTTTTTTTTTTCCTCCATCCTGTGGCAACACAGCCAAAAAGTCCTAAAAAAATAGGAGGTGCTCCACTGAAATCATCAGAGTTGCATCACTGTAAGTGAAATCAGGATCAAGCATCGCTGTTTGGGTTTAGTTCACCGCTATTCCATTTTTAATATGACTCATAACTTATGCCATTAATGGGCATAATGCTGCCCTGGCAGCACTGAGATGCAGGGAGCCTGGCTGTGCAGTGCTCTGCCGTGTCTCATGGGCGGTCTCAGGCATTACCCTGTACGCTGCTTTATCACAAGGTTAGAGAGCCGAGGCCTTGTCGGGTGTTACTTTTTAATGAGGTGGGTCACAGTCACTTTTATAGGGAGAGACAGAGATGGGTAGACAGATGTTATTCATAAGGAATATGAATTCCTTGCATACCCAGAACACCTGCAAGCACCAGGAGTTTGAGGCCAGCTCAATGTTATTGTTACGGTAGGTCTGTCCAGATCAGTATTTCAATTTTCTGCTCTTGGTTCTTTCTGTTTTGACATCAGCAAATTTAGAGCTACCTATTAAGTGTCTTTTGGTTTTGGTAATAAAGCCCCAGTGTTCTTTTATTTCATTTTTCTCTTCTGTTCGGATTAGTCCTAAACTGGTAAGACCTTACCTGGATTTTCTAGGGACTCTGTTGAAGATCTAGTGTAATAGAAGGACATTTCTGTGAGAGACCCGCCCTGCAGCTGCAGCCATACAGAATTTCCTTTCCGTCACACTTGTTTGTTTTCATGCAACCAAAGAAGTGTTATTTGAAAGTGTACCTTCTGCAAGGAAAAATAAACACAAGCAGTCACGTTACAAGTGTATCAAGAGGCAACCTAAAACTGACCACTAGAGAACTCATTAACTTTTCAGTCTGAACAAAAACTGCGTACGGTGCCCTTGGAGGTGCGTGTCCAACGCACAGGACCACGCCTGAAAGTCAGCAGAAGGCTGGTCCTTGCCGTTACCTTTGGCAGAACAAGAATTTTTAGAATAGAACAAACGGGAATTGCCATGATTCCCTGCAGAGTTGTGCAGACGTAGACCCAAACAATAGTTTTCAGTTGGCTCGTGCTTTGGTTTTCTATCAACTTAGAAAAACAGGATTTTTGAAAGCTTTCTTTACGCTCGGTTGCTGCTGGTTTTGGTAGAAGTAAATGGATGGAGCGTGCAAAAGGAAAGGAAAGCAATGAAACGTGTCAGTGGAATTTCCTTGGTGAAACTTTACATTACCTCTTAATGTTTGACTTTGAGTATAATATTTATTTTGAAAAATTGAGTTATTCTAGATCTAGTTCATCAATCTATAGATTTTTTTCATTTTTACTATGCTATTTCTGTTGATGAATATGATTGATTGTCAGTCAACGCAGAACTAACACCAGGTAGACTTAGTAGCAATTCACGAAATGGCTTAGTGATAACACCTTGGTATTTTCTTCCTTTGCCTCTATTTTTTGTAAAGGGGAAAAAATAAAAAGAGATTTACTTTTTCCCCTAATCAGTTTTGCATCTGAGTCTGTTGCTAACGATTTACCACAGAGGATAAAGAATTTCTGATGCCCTGACTACTGCGTAACCTTTCGTGCCAAAAGCAATTGAAGGGTCAGACTACAATTTCACTGTAATTGCCTTTTTCCCTTTTCACTGTCTCTTTCCAGTAATACACAACAATCAATACAGCATGTAATTAGATTTCATTCAATCTGCAAAGATTAAGAGAGTTTTCATCTTCTCATTATGTATGCTCGCATCATGTCTTCCTACCCATGTCTTCTGCATTAGACCTCTTTGACCTGTTCTATTGCAGACGTGGAGGGATAAGTCTGGAGTATTCCCTTGAATTTGGCAGATTATCGTTCTTTACACATCATAATTTGATTTTGCTCTCTTTGGGAAGATTAAATACAAGAGCAATTTCCAGTATGATAAATGGGTTTTATATTGCATGTGCGTTTCATGGAGGAGGCTGGGGAAAAAAGTGGACAATTCATGTAATTGCAGCACACAGGCTTAAAATGATGGAAATAGCAGGTCCTAGGTGCAGAGGACTGATTCATGCAGGCTGTGACTCCTGATTTTTAGAGTGTACTGGAAGTAAAGTGATTGCATTTAAAATTCAGCCTGGCAATCTGCATACTTAAAAGGTACGGTGGTGTTTTTAAAAGGACAGTTGATTCTTCGTGGGCTTGGGGCTGGTTGAAAATGGTTCCAAATTTCCATATCGAAAGTAAGGGTTGGGAACAGGCTGCAAATGAATCATGCGAACGTCCACATCAGATTTGTCAAAAAGAAGCTTTTACAGCTGGCAATTTCTAGTTGAAGAGTAATTTCTTTGCAGAGATTGAGCGGTAAATCCACGTGTGCATGGGGGAAGATTAATGAATAGCCAGCCTTACATTAATGACACTGCACCTTCTCATACCCACATACAGATTCTCATGTTATAACTATTTCTATTTAATTTGGTTATGGTCTGATGCTAATATGCATCTGACAAAATTAGCATATAATTATCTACAAAAGTATCAGCTTGTTTGTGGGGACTGCTCTCAGCTATGAGCTTTCCTCGTACTGGTGAGAAGCGTCTTCATGTGGTCTCATTTTGAGGATTTTTTTTAAGGAATGCAAAGTTGGGCCTAGTGAAGGCAGGAATGAAAAATACCAACTAGATTTCCTTTTTCTTTTATTTTTAAGTTAGGCTGCAGCTTATCTGTTTACCACACAGCATATAACAAGTATTTTCAATTGTTCTGGATCAGTTACTCAAGCTTTGGTAAGTAAACATTGTTAGAGGCCTGACCTTCAGTATTGCGAAGTCCAAAAGACTGATTTCCACTTCATATTGGCTTTAGCTATGTTAGTGTTGATGTGTGTAGCTCAGGAAACTCATAATCATTGATTTCAGGAAGGCCAAGATTTTATTCCTCAAAATAAGGGAAGAAACCATCATGAGTCGATATTTGGATAACCTCTATAAAAATATAATATTCGAAATAGTATTACTCTGTTTAGGCACTTTAGGAAGAAAAGGTCTAAAGGTTTGGTAGAAAAAAGAGAGTATATCTCTTTTGTAAAATGGGCAAAAGTGCATTCAACTCCTCAAAATATTGGCAAATACAAAA